TTTAAAGTGATGAAAGGGAAGAACCTACAACCAAGATTACCTAGCAGGGATCTCATTCAGAGTCAATGGAGAAATCAAAAGCTTTACAGACAAGCAAAAGCTAAGAGAATTCAGCACCACCAAACCAGCTCTACAACAAATGCTAAAGGAACTTCTCTAAGTAGGAAACACAAGAGAAGAAAGGGACTGACAAAAACAAGCCAGAAACAATTAAGAAAATGGTAAAAGGTACATACATATCAATAATTACCTTAAATGTGAATGGATTAAATGCTCCAACCAAAAGACACAGGCTCACTGAATGGATATGAAAACAACACCCATATATATGCTGTCTACAAGAGACCCACTTCAGACCTAGGGACACATACAGACTGAAAGTGAGGGGATGGAAAAAGGTTTTCCATGTAAGTGTAAATCAAAAGAAAGCTGGAGTAGCAATACTCATATCAGATAAAATAGACTTTAAAATAAAGAATGTTACAAGAGACAAGGAAGGACACTACAGGATGATAAAGGGATCAATCCAAGAAGAAGATATAACAATTATAAATATATATGCACCCAACACAGGAGCACTTCAATACATAAGGCAAATGCTAACAGCTATAAAAGAGGAAATCGACAGTAACACAATAATAGTGGGGGGCTTTAACACCTCACTTACATGAATGGACAGATCATCCAGACAGAAAATTACTAAGAAAACACAAGCTTTAAATGGCACGGTAGACCAGATAGATTTAATTGATATTTATAGGACATTCCATCTGAAAACAGCAGATTACACTTTTTTCTCAAGTGCCCATGGAACATTCTCCAGGATAAATCACATCTTGGGTCACAAATCAAGCCTCAGTAAATTTAAGAAAACTGAAATCATATCAAGCATCTTTTCTGACCACAACACTATGAGATTAGAAATCAATTACAGGAAAAAAAAAGTAAAAAACACATACACATGGGGGCTAAACAATACGTTACTAAATAACCAAGAGATCGCTGAAGAAATCAAAGAGGAAATCAAAAAATACCTAGAGACAAATGACAATGAAAACACGACAATCCAAAACCTATGGGATGCAGCAAAAGCAGTTCCAAGAAGTTTATAGCAATACAATCCTACCTCAAGAAACAAGAAAAATCTCAAATAAACAATCTAACCTTACACCTAAAGGAACTAGAGAAAGAAGGACAAACAAAACCCAAAGTTAGCAGAAGGAAAGAAATCATAAAGATCAGAGCAGAAATAAATGAAATAGAAAAGTCAATAAAACTAAACATCAATAAAAGTAAAAGCTGGTTCTTTGAGAAGATAAACAAAATTGATAAACCTTTAGCCAGACTCATCAAGAAAAAGAGGGAGAGGGCTCAAATCAATAAAATTAGAAATGAAAAAGGAGAAGTTACAATGGACACCACAGAAATACAAAGCATCAGGGAGGGTGGGAGGGAGGGAGACGCAAGAGGGAGGAGATATGGGAACATATGTATATGTATAACTGATTCACTTTGTTATAAAGCAGAAACTAACACACCATTGTAAAGCAATTATACTCCAATAAATATGTAAAAAAAAAAAATACAAAACATCAGAAGAGACTACTACAAGCAAACCTATGCCAATAAAATGGACAACCTGGAAGAAATGGACAAATTCTTGGAATGGTGTAACCTTCCAAGACTAAACCAGGAAGAAATAGAAAATATGAGCAGACCAATCACAAGTGATGAACTTGAAACTGTGATTAAAAATCTTCCAACAAACAAAAGCCCAGGACCAGATGGCTTCACAGGTGAATTCTGTCAAACATTTAGAGAAGAGGTAACGCCCACCCTTCTCAAACTCTTCCAAAAAATTGCAGAGGAAGGAATACTCCCAAACTCATTCCACCATCATCCTAATACCAAAACCAGACAAAGATACAACAAAAAAGGAAAATTACAGACCAATATCATTGATGAATATAGATGCAAAAATCCTCAACAAAATACTAGCAAACAGCATCCAACAGCACATTAAAAGGATCATACACCATGATCAAGTGGGATTTATCACAGGAATGTAAGGATTCTTCAATACACGCAAATCTATCAATGTGATACACCATATTAACAAACTGAAGAATAAAAACCATATGATCATTTCAATAGATGCAGAAAAAGCTTCTGACAAAATTCAACACCCATTTATGATAAAAACTCTCCAGAAAGTGGGCATAGAGGGAACCTACCTCAACATAATAAAAGCCATATATGAGAAACTCACAGCAAGCATCATTCTCAATGGTGAAGAACTGGAAGTATTTCCTCTAAGATCAGGAACAAGACAAGGATGTCCACTCTCACCACTATTTTTTTTGAAGTTTATTTAATTTATTTTTTTATATAGCAGGTTCTTATTAGTCATCAATTTCATACACATCAGTGTATACATGTCAATCCCAATCGCCCAATTCATCACACACACACACCCCCACTGCTTTCCCCCCTTGGTGTCCATACGTTTGTTCTCTACATCTGTGTCTCAATTTCTGACCTGCAAGCCGCTTCATCTGTACCATTTTTCTAGGTTCCACATATATGCATTAATATACGATATTTGTTTTTCTCTTTCTGACTTACTTCACTCTGTATGACAGTCTCTAGATCCATCCATGTCTCAACAAATGACCCAATTTCGTTCCTTTTTATGGCTGAGTAATATTCTATTGTATATATGTACCACATCTTCTTTATCCATTCATCTGTTGATGGGCATTTAAGTTACTTCCATGACCTGGCTATTGTAAATAGTGCTGCAATGAACATTGGGGGCACTCTCACCACTATTATTCAACATAGTTTTGGAAGTCCTAGCCATGGCAATCAGAGAAAAAAGAAATAAAAGGAATACAAATTGGAAAAAAAGAAGTAAAACTGTCACTGTTTGCAGATGACATGATACTATACATAGAGAATCCTAAACATACCACCAGAAAACTACTAGAGCTAATCAATGAATTTGGTAAATTTGCAGCATACAAAATACATGCACAGAAATCTCTTACATTCCTATACACTAACAAAGAAAGATCAGAAAGAGAAATTAAGGAAACAATCTCATTCACCATTGCAACAAAAAGAATAAAATACCTAGGAATAAACCTACCTAAGGAGGTAAATGACCTATACTCAGAAAACTATATGACACTGATGAAAGAAATCAAAGATGACACAAACAGATAGAGAAATATACCATGTTCTTGGATTGGAAGAATCAATATTGTGAAAATGATTATACTACCTAAAGCAATCTACAGATTCAATGCAATCCCTATGAAATTACCAATGGCATTTTTTACAGAAGTAGACCAAAAAATCTTAAAAATTTGTATGGAGACACAAGACTCCGAATAGCCAAAACAATCTTGAGGGAAAAGAACAGACCTGGAGGAATCAGGCTCCCTGACTTCAGACTATACTACAAAGCTACAGTAATCAAGACAATATGGTACTGGCACAAAAACAGAAATATAGATCAATGGAACAGGATAGAAAGCCCAGAGATAAACCCATGTACCTATGGTCAACTAATCTATGACAAAGAAGGTGAGGATATTCAGTGGAGAAAAGACAGTCCCTTCAATAAGTGGTGCTGGGAAGACTGGACAGCTACATGTAAAAGAATGAAATTAGAACACTCCCTAACACTATACACAAAAATAAACTCAAAATGGATTAAAGACTAAATGTAAGACCGGACAGTATAAAACTCTTAGAGGAAAACATAGGAAGAATACTCCTTGACATAAGTCACAGCAAGATCTTTTTTGACCCACCTCCTAGAGTAATGGAAATAAAACAAAAATAAACAAATGGGACCTAATGAAATTTAAAAGCTTTTGCACAGCAAAGGAAACTATAAACAAAATGAAAAGACAACCCTCAGAATGGGAGGATATATTTGCAAACAAATCAATGGCAAAGGATTAATCTCAAAAATATATAAACAGCTCATGCAGCTCAATTTTAAGAAAACAAACATCCCAATCCAAAAATGGGTAGAAGACCTATATAGACATTTCTCCAAAAAAGACATACAAATGGCCAAGAGGCACATGAAAAGCTGCTCAACATCACTAATTATTAGAGAAATGCAAATCAAAACTACAATGAGGTATCACCTCACACTGGTTAGAATGGGCATCATCAGAAAATCTACAAAAAACAAATGCTGGAGAAGGTATGGAGAAAAGGGGACCCTCTTGCACTGTTGGTGGAAGTGTATATTGATATAGCCACTGTGGAGAACAGTATGGAGGTTCCTTAAAAAACTAAAAATAGAATTACCATCTGCCCCAGCCCACTACTGGGCATATACCCAGAGAAAACCATAATTCAAAAAGACACATTCACCCCAATGTTCATTGCAGCACTATTTACAATAGCCAGATCATGGAAGCAAACTAAATGCCCAACGACAGACGAATGGATAAAGAAGATGTGGTGCATATATACAATGGAATATTACTCAGCCATAAAAAGGAACAAAACTGAGTCATTTATAGAGACGTGGATGGACCTAGAGACTGTCACACAGAGTGAAGTAAGTCAGAAAGAGAAAAACAAATATCATATATTAACACATATATGTGGAATCTAGAAAAATAGTGAAGATGAACCAGTTTGCAAGGCAGAAATAGAGACACAGATGTAGAGAACAAATATGGACACCAAGCAGGGAAAGCAACGCAGTGGGGGGAGAGATAAACTGGGAGATTGGGATTGACATGTATACACTAATTTGTATAAAATAGATAACTAAATAAGAACCTGCTGTATGAAAAATAAAATTAAAAAAAAACACAAGGAAAAAGCAAAAAAAAAAAGAGACACAAAAAATAAACACAGGCAGATTCGACACCAAATATACATTAAACCAGTAATTTTCAAGCTGTAGTACTTGTATCTTTGGGAGTGTATGGAAACTTTCCAAAAGGTACGAGGGCTGAAATTACCAGATCTTCAACTTCCACATGGGTTCTCCATCTGAACACTTCACTGAGAATGGGCGATGTTAGTGGAAGCTTCGGGATCACTCCTCTGTCTTCTCTCCTTTTCACTTTACAAGAGGTATAAGACTCATTCATTCCGTGCTGCATTGTTCTGGGGGTTAAAAAACAAAAACAAAAAAACCACAACTCCTGGCCACCAAAAACACTTTGAAATATCGTCACTTTGTGTAGGTAAATTACATTACTGCAAAATTATTTTTCAAGTCAAGATTTATAACTCAACCAAATTTAAGGAGTACCTAATCAAGCTGAGCTTGGATAGATCATTAAGAATCATTTTTGATGAAAGAGTGTTATACAGTTTTTGGCATATAACTTGAAAGAGTTCAGAAAATTCAGTGACATTGCAAAAGTTAAATGCCTTCCATTCCTAGTTACTTGTTTATATAAGTGAGATTTCTCAAAGAATGCATCTATAGACATTTAAACAGAAGTAAAATTAATCCTAATTTCTATCTCATTCTAGAAATAAGTAATAATCATCTACAGGTATATACACTAATTGAAAAAAATCCCAAACTATATCTATTCCATTAGGAATTGCTTTTCCAACATTATTTTACATTTTATGTTTAATATTTATTTCCCAAAATATCTAATATACGGTTAACTTCTTATTGTTTCAAGTTATGCTGATCTGTTACATCTATTCATAGTTGTTATGTTAACTCAATCCACAAGAATTCTTGAATATCTTTGCACTTTATAAAATAAAAACTCTTTGATATTTCAAGTTATATATGTATTTTGGGGGTAGAAAATTTGATAACACAATAAAACTTTTAAGCATAAAAATATATTAGGAAAAAGTTTATGAGGAAGGTGGATGGAAGTATTAATTAAAGAGGGAAAAGGAACAATGTAAAAATTCTGACTGTTGAACTTGTGTAAATTTTTAATGGATAGTTGGTATGAAGTATAGATTACATCACATATTTCTTAAGTGATGCAACAGTTTTATTCTTTTAAAAAATTTATTGAAATATAGTAGATTTACAATGTTATATTAGTTTCAGGTGTACAGCACAGTGAATCAGTTATATATATATATGAATATATATATTCTTTTTCAGATTGTTTTCCCTTACAGGTTATTACAAAATATTGAGTATAGTTCCCTGTGCTGTACAGTAGGTCCTTGTTGGTTATCTATTATATATATAGTAGTGTGTATGTGTTAATCCCAAACTCCTAATTTATCCCTCCCCCTCAAAAGTTTTATCCTGGCCAATATTATAATATCCAGAAATCATATCTTTTCAAGTATTTAAATTTAAGATGAAAATTCTAGATGTTGACTGAATATATTCAAAGGAGTATGTGCTTTTAAAAATTTCTTTTAGGACATATGCAATGAGAAATATTTGAAGTTTATGTTTCCTTCCAAATTTTCTTCATGGAAAACAAAATTAGTGGTCCTGATTGTTGATCCGAAATCTCTCTGGCAATGTGTTATGGACTGTATTCTGTTCCTCCAAAATTCATCTGTTGAAGCTCTAACCCCCAGTGTGATTGTATCTGGAGTTGTAGCCTTTGCAGAGGTAATTAAGGTTAAATAGGGTCATAATGGTGGGGCCCTAATTCAGTATGACTGTTGTCCTTATAAGAGGAGGAAGAGATGCCAGGGAGGCACCCAGACAAGGCAAGACTGTGTGAGGACACAGTGAGACAGCCCACTGCAAAACAAGAGGAGACTCCTCAGAAGAAACCAAACCTGCAAGACCTTGATCCTGGATGTCTACCCTCCAGAACCACGAGAAATAAATTTCTGTTGTTTAGTCCACCCACTCTGTAGTATTTTGTTATGGCAGTCCTAGCAAACTAATATAGGATGCTTCAAGTATAGAGTATATGGTAGAGACCACAGCCCTGAGAGAGAGCCCCATTATTTATGACCACAGAAGCTATTTTTAATATCAAACTACAGGATAGAGTTCTGAATTAGCAAACATCTCTGTCAAAGTCATATTTTGACCTCGTGATTTTAATCTCCTGATTTGAGCGTCATCAATTCTATTTCAAAGGGACAGCAGAATCACCACAATTCGTTCTCTACCCACAGCTTTAACCTCTCTGTTAAAGGAAAATGAGAATGCATTTTTTTTTCCATTTACAAAATGTGACACGGTTCTTGCCCCAAAACTAATAAACAGATACACAGAGATAAATTTGCATATAACTTCATGTTACTTTTTCCTAACACTATTTGCAAAACCCAAATTCCTTTTATAATTATCATGAATTTTATGCCTCAAAACTCAGTTTGAGGATCAGCTTAGAAAAGTATTGGCTTGGGCTTCCCTGGTGGCGCAGTGGTTGAGAGTCCGCCTGCTGATGCAGGGGACACGTGTTCGTGCCCTGGTCCGGGAAGATCCCACATGCCACGGAGCGGCTGGGCCCGTGAGCCATGGCCGCTGAGCCTGCGCGTCCGGAGCCTGTGCTCCGCAATGGGAGAGGCCACAACAGTGAGAGGCCCGTGTACCGCAAAAAAGAAAAGAAAAGAAAAGAAAAGTATGGGCTTACACGGTGGTAGTTCAGTGGAACTGAGAAGGAGCTCTTCAGTATTATCGAGGAGAGGAAGTTCATGAAATCGAGGAATCCTTCAACATTACCAAGAAAGGGGTCTGGGGTAGAGAAGGAAAGAGAGCATCTTGATGAAAATTCCCCTCTCCCTAATGTCTTTTTTTCCACTCTTTAATGTATTTCCTTATTTATCCTTTATGCTTTTCATCCCTCTTTTTTTTTTTTTTTTGTACTTCTCTTTTTTCTTGTATTTCCTTCATCCCACCTACTTTTCCTTTCTCACCTATTCCATCAGGGAACTTAAGAGAAGACAAAGAAGTATCAAAGTAGCAGAATATATGAAGATAGACCAACCATGGCTGTTTTTTGATAGAAGGCAGTACTGTTCCACACATAGACTGACGTTATTCTTATCCATGATTTATTGCACTAGCTGCCTAAGGCTCTTATAGTCTAAGTCACATGCTTCTACCTTGAATACACATTAGAGTAGTCCCATAGCTTCTTGGGGGGTGGCTGGCGGGGGGGCTTCATTTTCCTTCCCTATTTTCTCATTTCCCTCCCACCTCAACTTATTTTCCCTTCTATTCTGCTTAATGGAAAGTCTTCTTAAATCATGACTATCTGAATGGACACCTCAAATAACCACTTCAGATTTAAGTGTGAAGGGGTAGAGCAGAAAAGTGGATAAAATCCAGAGAGATTAGGTTGGTGTTTAATGGCCATTTCCTATTATTTATATCATAGTTACTGTAGAACATATATTTTGGTACCTCTCATCTAAAAAACACAACAGTTCCCAGCGCCGGTTGTTCATATTTAACCTTGGTTAATATGTGGTACACGTTTCATTTATTAAGTAAATATTCTTGAGCACGTACTATGTGGTGGAAACTTGTCAGGCACTGAGGGGTCAAAGATAAATAAATCTGGCATGGTTCCTGTCCTGAAGGGTTTATAGTCTAATAGGAAGCATCATGAAGACAAACACAAAAGTACGAGAGACATGAGCAATGCCAAAGGTGTGGCTGAAGTGCTAGGGTAGCCCAAGGGAATACTTGTAGCGCTAAAGCTCAAGGATACCCCGGAGGAGGTGGCTCCTCAGTTGGGTTTTGGGAAGAAGAAGGCAATAGACAAAATTTTAAGATGCAGTGGAGGAAAGTTGGGTGACCTCCACCGCTGAATGACCTTGATTGTCTCAGTTGAGTTTATTCAACAAATATTTATCTATTTATTTTTTTAATATTTATTTGGTTGTGCCAGGTCTTAGTTGTGGCAGGTGGGCTCCTTAGTTGCGGCATGTGAACTGTTAGGTGCAGCATGCAGGATCTAGCTCCCTGACCAGGGATGAAACCCCAGCCCCCTGCATGGGGAGCACGGAGTCTTAACCACTGTGCCACCAGGGAAGTCCCTCAACAAATATTTAGAAGACATTTATTTCAAGTCTGACAATGTGGAAAAGGCTGGGAATGAAATGATGTTTACACAACATCATTTCAATCTGTTTACAGTATAGATGCACATTGGTTTTCTATTGCTGCTCTAACACATTATCACCAATTTGTCAGCTTAAAACAGTACCCATTTATTTTCTCACAGTTGTAAAAGTCAGAAGTCTGAGCTGGGCTCATCTAGTGACACTGTTCCAGATCACACAGGACTAAAATCAAGGTATGGGCCAGCTCTGTAGGACAATCTGCTTCTAAACTCATTCAGCTTGTTGGCAGATTACGTGCCTTGTAGCCATAGATGGAGGTCCCTGGTTCCTTGCTGCTTCATCCTTATCATTTTGCCCCCTCCCTCTTCAAAGCCAGCAACAGCTGATCACGTCCTGCTCTCACAGTGGATCTCTCTGTCTCTCTTCTGCTGCATCATTGCTGCCTCCAGCTACAGAAAGTTCTGTTTTTAGGGTTCATGTGATTAGATTGAGACCACCCAGGTAATCCAGGATAATCTACTTTTTTTAAGGTGTGCAAGCTTAATCATACCTGCCTAATCCCTTTTGCCATTAAGGTACCGTATTCAGTAGGGATTAGGGCATGAACATCTTTGGGGGCCATTATACCTACCACAAGATGAGATCAGATAAGTACAGAGATATTTACAACACACTATAATTGGCCCTCTGACACAGGTGAGTATACCATTTTATGGGACCCATAGCACATGTAATCTTGAAGGGGAATTGGGAAAAACTTCCTCGTATTATCTATTGCTGCATAACAAATAACCTGCAAAACTTAGTGACTAAAAAATATATGTTTGTTTTTTCACAAGTTTTCTGTGGATCAGGAATTGAGGAGCAGCTTCGATGTTGACTCTAGCTCAAGCTCTCTCATGAAGTTACCATCAAGGTGTCAGCGGGGGGAATTCCCTGGTGGTCCAGTGGTTAGGATTTGGAGCTTTCACTGCCATGACCGATTCAATCCCTGGATAGGGAACTAAGATTCCACAAGCCACACGGCACAGCCAAAAAAAAAAACCACGTCAGCTGGTACAGTCATCTGAAGGCTTGACTGGAGTTGGGTTATCCTCTTAGAGTTTACTAGATGACTGTTGGTAAGAGTTCCTTACGGGATGGAGGCCTCAGTTTTTCACTATGAGGGCCTCTCCATTTGGTGGTTTGAGTGTCTTCATAACATGGCAAGAAACCATACTATCGATTATTTCCTGATCTCAGAGGTCGTACATCATCACTTCTGCCTTCATCTATTCATTAGAAGTGAGTCACTAAGACAGCTGACATTCATGAGGAAGGAAATTAAGGAGCACTTTTTAAAAGGAGAGCCCAAGAACGTTTGGACATCTTTTAAACCATCACACCATCTATCGGGCTCTAGGGATATTGTATCTATTAATCCTTTCCGTATCTCTCTGTAGGTTAGTCTCCAGTAGAATCCATGCTGACTGGTTGTGCTTTTTATGTTTTTTTTCAATATTTATTTATTTAGGCTGTGCCAGGTCTTAGCTGCAGCATGCAGGATTTTAGTTGCAGCATTCGGACTCCTTAGTTGTGGCATGTAGTTGCATGTATGCAGGATCAAGTGCCCTGACCAGGGATTGAACCCGGGTCCCCTGCATTGGGACAGCGGAGTCTTACCCACTGGACCACCAGGGAAGTCCCTGATTTGCTGTTCTTTATGACAAATGTACTCACCTTGCTTCTGAGTGTGACGTGCCAACACCTGGCTTCTATCATTTCAGGAACTATCTTTCTCAGTGCTGTCAGAGGATCCAGTTTGTTTTAGCACCTCCAATCTTCAGCCCATGCCTGCAACTGCAGCCATCACTTAGCTTCTCCATGATTCTGGTGCCTCACTCAACAAAGCATTCCTATTACTTTGGAAAACAAAAGGTGCTCTGTATCTTCCCATGGACCACTTCTCTGAACTAGTTGATCCCTTCTTCAACTATCTACCATGGCAGTTCTGTCATTTCTGCTTCTCTTAGTGTGGGCATCACTTTCCTCAAGCTTCCTAAAAGCCATCCTGGTGGTATTTTTTGTACCATCTCCTGATATCCTTACCTGGGTATAAAATGCTGTTTCCTCAGAAAGTCCCCCCATATTGATAGACTCTCCCTTATTCGACCTATGTTCTAGATCCCTTGATTCAGTACCTCAGAATTTATCTCATGTGCACTCTCCTGGCTTCTGCTGGTTTAAGATCCTACAGCTTCTTCTGGGTATAATCTTTTTCTTCCATTAGCAGGCCCAGCACTTCCCCAGTCAGACTGTTATGTGACTTAACCCTAGGTATTGGGCAGGAGAGAAATAAGGGACATAGGCTGAGAGGACCACGTGCTGTCTCATAAGGTAGAAGCCTCTGTCTCCTCTTTAAGCAAGGGAGAAATGATAGCATTTAACAGAGAGGAGATGGAAATTTTCAGGCCCTGAGAATTCAGGGGCATCTAGAAATTGAAAATTTTTGAGGGCATCAATTGTGATATCCCCATCCCAATGTCTCAGGGTCCCAGTCCTTCCCAAACAGTGCTTTGACCTTGGCATACCAGACCTGCAATGGCTGAGAGTTCAACCATCTGTGGAGCTATTCAACCTTCCTCTTATGACAAAGCTAATATTCAGATTTTCCTGCCCTTGGGCTGAAAATTTTTATATCTTGCCAAGAGGCCTTCTGACTTCATACTTGGCATTTAATTGCTTATTAATCACTCTTAACATGTAATTATCTCTCTCCAAAACATCTTTGTTCCTTATCAAAAGCCATCCAATTCCACTGCGCTTGTAAACACTATTTCCACTTCTTGATGCCTGGTACAGTACAGATGTTGTGACTTGGATGAACCTTGAAAACATTATGCTAAGTGAAAAAAGCCAGTCACAAAAGTCCACATATTATGTGATTACATTCATATGAAAGTTCAGAATAAGAAAATCTATGGAGACAGAAAGTAGAATAATGGTTAACTAGAAAAGATATATGCACCCCTATGTTCATTGCAGCATTATTTAAAATAACCAAGATATGGAAGCAACCTAAGTGTCCATCGATAGATGAATGAATAAAGAAGATGGGGAAGGTACAAGCGCTATAGGAACAGAGATTCCTTGGGGGCGATTTACTGATTAGAATAGAAAACACAACTTGAAGGCCACAACCTTTAGGACTAGTGGAAGTTCTCCAGGCAGAAGAGATAGGAAGGCTTTCCAACAGCATGATAAAAAGCACATATCAGGGCTTCCCTGGTGGCGCAGTGGTTGAGAGTCCACCTGCCAATGCAGGGGACGCGGGTTCGTGCCCCGGTCCAGGAGGAGCCCACATGCCGTGGAGCAGCTGGGCCCGTGAGCCATGGCCGCTGAGCCTGGGCATCCGGAGCCTGTGCTCCGCAATGGGAGAGGCCACAACAGTGAGAGGCCCGCGTACCGCAAAAAAAAAGCACATATCAAAATTATCAGAGAGCATAGTTAGGGAACTAAAAGTTGTCCGGTATTCCTGAAGAAGGAAGTATTAAGCTGGACGGCCAAAATTGGAGCTAGAGGGACAGAAAGGGAAAGTCTCCTGTGCCACAAAAATGAAGTAGAGCTTTATCGCTAGGAGTCCCTGAAGGATTTTAAGTGAGGGAGAGACATAGTCAGATTAGGATTTTAAATAGATATTTCTGGAAGCACATCACCTGAAACAATTAGACACTCAGACGTGTTAGTTGAATGAACAGGGACATGTGTATAGAGAATATACAATATGTAATAACACACTTAGTGGTGGAGGAATGTTTCGAGATGGGGGAGCAGGATTTTTCCAACAGTCTGGATGATATGATACAAATTTGAGTCAGGGCTTCAGGAGGAGGAATGAAAAGTTCTATGTACTCTAAATTCGCCTCTTGTATATTTTGTTTATTAGGTAGGGCTCTTTCCTGATACTGCTTCCCTTCCTCAATCCTGTTTCCCACTAAATCCATGATGAAGAATGGGACTTAAGGGAGAAGGGAAAGCCGTCTCAATTAACTTTTTTTTTTAATTTTTAAAATTTATATTTATTTTTGGCTGTGTTCGGTCTTCGTTGCTGCACGCAGGCTTTCTCTAGTTGCAGCGAGCCGGGGCTACTCTTCCTTGCGGTGTGTGGGCTTCTCATTTCTCATTGAGAAGTGGCTTCTCTCGTTGAGCAACACAGGCTCTAGGCACGTGGGCTTCAGTAGTTGTGGCTCACAGGGTCTAGAGCTCAGGCTCAGTAGTTGTGGCGCACGGGCTTAGTTGCTCTGTAACATGTGGGATCTTCCTGGACCAGGGCTCAAACCCGTGTCCCCTGCATTGGCAGGGGGATTCTTAACCACTGCACCACCAGGGAAGACCCTCAACTAACTATTGTTTTTTGTTTTTTTAAATAAATTTATTTTTGGCTGTGTTGGATCTTTGTTGCTGCGTGCGGGCTTTCTCTAGTTGTGCCGAGTGGGGGCTACTCTTCGTTGCGATGCGTGGGCTTCTCATTGCGGTGGCTTCTCTTGTTGTGGAGCACGGACTCTAGACGTGTGGGCTCTAGAGTGCAGGCTCAGTAGTTGTGGCGCACGGGCTTAGTTGCTCCGCAGCATGTGGGATCTTCCCGGACCACGGCTCGAACCCATGTCCCCTGCATTGGCAGGCAGATTCTTAACGACTGTGCCCCCAGGGAAGTCCCCTCAATTATTGTTAAGAGAAGAAATGTTGGCGAATCCTGGGTTCTGAATTCTTTTCTCTTCCTCTGTCAGTTAAATGTTGACACTCCCTTTCCTTCTCTCCCCTTCTCTTTTCAGTTCCCTGGCTAATCCAGTCTTTTTCTTCAGTTACTGACTTAAGCCTTTATATCCCACGGGCCTCACAAATCCTCGAACTCAATGTATGACACTGAACACACAATTTTCCGTCCTTCTATATCTCTGCCTGAATGGATGGAACCACCCACATAGTTGACGAGATGCAGAACATGCCACCCCAAAATAAGCCACTTTGGCATAAGGATTGTTTTGAGCTGAAGGCAATTAAGAAGCTGCAGATTCAGGAGGAACTCTCTGCCCTCCCTCATTCTGCCTAAAAGCAGGGCATAAATTTCCCTTTCAGAGCTGCCTCTCCTCCCCTCTCCCACACCAGGAGGAGAACAGCATATCACAGGAGATAGAAAGTGGCAATGACTTGTATCTGCCTAAACAAATCTTAAAATAACCTTCATCTCCTATTCCTTTTGCCCATATATTTACCTTCCCACAATTGACAACCCCTAGAAGCCCAAACCCCTCCTCCTTTGTTTTGCCACTTCTCTCAAATTAGGCTTGACTGCTTCTTTGGGTTTTCCCTTTTTTCCTGTGAAGCAGTGATGTGCATAGGAAATAAGCCTTTTCTCCTGTTAATGTCTTTTGCCAACTTAACTCTCAGGCCCCAGTCACTGAATCTAAGTAGGTAGAGGAAAAGATTTTCCTCTCTTACAGTCTACAGCCCACAGTTTAGAATCCTGACAGTTTCCCAGACTCTTCCCTGACTCTCTTGTTTTACATCCAATCAGTCATTGACAGGAGTGAGCTTTATCTGAGCCCTGTGCTCCTGGAAAATAGGCTGGTTAGGAAGTCCCTCCATCCTTTTGTTTTCCAAAGCCCCATACCTTTTGTGGCAGGGAAAACAGCTAACTGTAAAGGATCGCACTGCTCTTGCATATTCCATGAAAAGACTCATGTCCGCCCTTGCTCATGACTCCAGTAAGATCCAGTCATGACTCCTTAAGTTTTCCAACCTCTGTAAAACCTCAGATCCCTTTTCCTTTCCATGAGATGCTCTTCATTAATGAACATGTTCTCTATTGCAACAGCCTGAATAAAACCATCTGCTTAATTATCTGGTGCATTTTGTCTTTGATATCACTGTGTCTTCCTGAGGCTATCTCCTCAGTGAGTAATTCTGAACATGCCCCCTCCTCTTCGCCCCCACTGCCGGTCCACCAGCTCTTACTTAGACTGTTGCAGTGCCTCCTGCACTTCAGGACTTCAGCTTTACTCTTCTCTACCCCATTCTTCACTCTGTTGCTAGAATGATCTTTCTTTCTTTTTCTTTTTTTTTAAATATATTTATTTATTTATTTATCTGGCTGTGCAGGGTCTTAGTTGCGGCACACAGGATCATTTAATTGCAGCATGCGGAATCTAGTTCCGTGACCAGGGATCGAGCCTGGGCCCCCCGCATTGGGAGTGCAGAGTCTTAACCATGGGACCACCAGGGAAGTCGCTAGAATAATCTTTCTAAAAAGCAATTCGTGACCTAACTTCTCTCTACTTACTCACAGACACACACACACACACACACATACAGAGACGCGCACACACACACACACACACACACACACACACACATCATCCAGGAGTACATTGAACTACTCTGGGGAAATACCAGCCTTCTTCCACTGCTTGCCTTTCGCACGTAGCTCACTCTGCCCAAACTTGCTCCCTTGTTTTCTGGTTGCCGCTCATCCAGCTCAGGGACCAACATGGAGAAGCCTTTCCTGATCACCCCATCGCCTCAGTCTGGGAAGGTGCCTCTGCTATGTACTCCCATAGCTTTATGTACTTTTTTCTATCATTATTTTTTGTCTCACTACAACATGACTGTCGATTTGTTTTCTTTTTCTCACTCCAATAGTCTGTGAGCTCCTTGAAGATAGAAACCTTACTCTTTTTTTTAAATAAATTTATTTATTTATTTTTGGCTGCATTGGGTCTTCGTTGCTGTGCGCGGGCTTTCTCTAGTTGCGGCGAGCGGGGGCTACTCTTCGTTGTGGTGCGCAGCCTTCTCACTGCGGTGGCTTCTCTTGCTGCGGAGCACGGGCTTTAGGCGTTTTAATACTAAACACTACTTAAACCTTAAAATCACCTTGCTTCTCAAATATGCACAAACGTTTATATTTCAGTAAGTTGAAGAATGTAAATTTTCTCATGAACATTCCTTTTTTCAGTGTAGTTGATAATATTAAATCAGAAGATATTCCTTCAACCCCAGAGACACAAGAATAGTTTTTGTAATCATCTGATATGTTTTTTTGGCCAGATATAACTTCTTAAATCTTGAGGACCACCACCTCCTTCCATTGCAAAAAAATGGGAAGTTTTGGCAGGAGCTACAGACCCAAAAGAACAGAGGGGTGGGGCTTTCACTGTGTGGGAGGAGCATTCATGACTGCTCTCTTTTCTCTAGAGTTCTCTGTTCTCTTCCCATCATACTGAAGGGTAAGGCAGGCTTAGGGATGACCTCCTTTGGGTATGTTTCCCATCTTCTCTCACTTTGGGAACTCCTAAGAGGAGCAGGGCAAAGTCTAGGGTGGAGGAGGTAAGGAACAAATAGTTTATGCAAGCATGGCCTTGGGTTTAGGGAAATACCTACATCATGGACTTACTTTTCCCTGACCCTTTTGGTCAGAGTTTCTGATCAGTGTGTGGACTTCCAAGGTAAAAGGGTGTAATTACCTAGAGAATCGGCTCTGTTTAAATATCACTATTCGCTCCCCAACCCCCCTCCCATTGCCTCCAAACTTGTTTCCAAAACGAAAACATTGCCCCAAGGAAGAGTTTACACCATGATAAGTATCCCAAGTGGGAAAAGGCTGGGGGGAATCAGGCCAGAGAAAAGCAGAGATGATAGGGAATTGTGGCCAGCCACTTTTCTTGTTATCAATCACTGCTTGCCCCAAAGTGACAGACTGGCTGAACACAGTCCCTTAATTAGGATTCTCTTTGGACCTCTCTCTGAATACTTGACTCAGATTCTTTGCAAAGTCTGGGTCAAAAGGTTTAAGGAAGAAGCCAAATTGTGAGTTTTTGTTAAAGAATAACCATATCTTTAAACAGAACCTTTGGTAACCACAGAAATATGCACAGAGTCGAGCACACAGATTTTCTTTTCAAAGAAAAGAAAAAAATCTTTTTAGTCTATTCCCAAAGACCTAAATTACATCTTCCCTTAGATTTAACCTCCAGGAAGACATTTTTATCTTCCCTGGAGCACCCTCTACCACCATCTCCTCTCTGGAGAGTCTCCTAAATGGCCCAACAGAATGGTTATATCAATGACCCCTACCCCAAGGAGCTTTCCCATATAATTCCTCCTTTGTGTGATGATTCCTAGCCCATCCTCCTCAGCCCTGTATTCTGGCACCTGTGCATCTGTGAAGTCGTAGAAAGTAGCTGAGGTTCAGGCCTACCCATCTGTTACCCACTCACTAGTCAATCAGAGTGTTAAAGAGAAAAACCACAGGCCCAAAATGGTGTCACTTGTGCTAAAGCCCCTGATACCAAACCTA